CTGCCCCCAGCGGGGCAGGGCACAGGCCCCATCAATCGCCCGAGGCCGCAGCTGCCTGCAAACACGCCAGCCCGCAGCCCCCCAGCCTGCGCCCCACCCCGGGCCGCACACGGCTGTCTTCCAGGTGAACATTCCTTAGAAAAATGAGTTCATTATCACCTTCAGCGGGAGCGGGGAGGGCGGCCCGGAGGGGCGCGGGCGGACACCACCCTCTGCGGCCGGCAGCTGGGCCCTGGGCCACGGAGGCGGGGACCCCCTTCCTGCCGGCCTGACCAGGGAGACAGATGTGTGCGCCCAGGGGCTGGTCGGATATCGCATTATGATAACAAATCACCCGCCGATTGGAACTTAATTACGGCTCTTCTATCTTGGTGCGGTCACGCACCTGGGCCCCAGCCCTGGGCGCTCCGCGAGGAGGCCAGCCCGCGCCCTGGGGACGCCACGCCACCCCTCCCCCTCTGCAGCAGCGAGACAAAGGGGCTTCTCCTGCCCAGAAGCAGAGTGGGGGTCTGCCCTGCCCCTCCCACACAACCCAGGAGGGGCACCCTGGCCCGGCTAGGCAGGGCAGAGGTGGGGCCCGACCCCTGGGCAGCCGCCGCCCTGGCAGGGGGGCCTCCGTCCAGGGCCGCCGCCGGGGGCTGGCTTTCTGGCGGGAAGTGGGCTTGGGGGCCCCGAGATGGGGCGGGAGCCCTCATCACCCCCTGTGGGGGGCAAACGCTTCCTGTGGGCTTTTCTGCTTTGATTTTAGAGCTTTAGAAATTGCCCTTGGAAGCAACGACAGCGGCTCGCTCTGGGGCGTGGGCTTGCTGCCGGGCGGCCTCCCCAGCCCCAGGACAGGCAGATCCTGGCCGCGCTGGCCGCGGGCTTCCTCCATGCCCGGGTCCCGGCTTGGGCAGCTCCTGGCGCTTTCCCGGCCCTGCTGTGCCAGGCCCCTAGGGGGCGACTCAGCGTGCGGGGCCCTGACCAAGGGGCCTGGGCCTGGCCTCGCCGCTCCAGCCGGCCTCCAGGGCCGGCCGGTGGCCGCACTGCCCGGGAGAGGAGCAGGGAGAGGACGCCTGCCCCGCAGGGCCTCAGGGCGGCTGGGGCAGGGGCCGGACCCCAGCCTGCTTGAAGGCGGCCGTCTTGCCCGTCTGGCTCGGGGCAGGGCTTCCGGGAGGACACTGCTGGGACGGCTTCGGGGGACCCTCGGTGGGCCGGGGCTGCTGCCCCGTGTCCATGCTGCCTGGTGACCGCTGAGGCGTCCTGAGCCGGGGGCCTGCTGTGTGGCCGCGCCTGACCAGGTGCGGGCTGAGGGAGAAGGGGCAGATGTTTGGGGTGGAGAGAGCGGCCCCCACAGCAGGCCAGGGCAGGGTGGACTACTCCGGCGGGACTGGGCTGGGGTCCCTCATCCTTGGGGCTCGGCTCTTTGGGGTTCCTTTGGCCCCCACCAGCCCTGAGGCGTGGGGAGGGCCGCTCTGGGGGTGCCTGAGGTCCTGGGGCCCGTGTGGTGCCGTCCCTCCCTGCTGCAGCTCTGGGGTCTGGGTGGACACCTCTCCACGCTGCCAAGGCCAGGCGGGCCCGGCGAGCGTGTTCAGAGAGGGGCTGGCCGCTGAGTCAGCGAGGGTGAGCTGTCAGCGGCGCCGGTGGCCAGCGCTGTGAGCCATGTCATTGCTTTGGGGACCAGGAGGGGCGGGTTGGGCCTCCGGCTTCCACCCAGTTCCCGGCAGGGCTTGGACGGTGCTGTGCAGCCAGGGAGGGGCGGGCGTGGGCCCGCGTGGGCCTCGGGGGTGCATGGGGGGTGGGCGTGGGCCCGTGTGGGCCTC